ACCTCAAAGGCAGCTATTAACCCCATTTTACAGCTAAGACAACCTCATAGGGATCTAAGCACCTTGGTTAATATCAAAGAGCTAGTAGTGGCAGAATGTAAGCCTCTGAATCTAGTGATCTAAACATGGCTATCACTCAAGGCCTTTGATAGCCTCTACAACATACTTCCTGTTCCCGCTCCCCACAAAATATAACAAAGGTAGTTTTAAAAATATATATTTCAGAAAAAGAACTAGCTTTCTGACCATCTCTACAACTCTCTTCTCCTATTGAGGTATGTGATTTCGCCTAGTTCTCCTCACCTGAGAAAACCATTGCACAGAAAACACAAGTAATACCCAATAGCTCCCATTTGTTATTAAAATAATCACTACTTAACTCTGCTATTCTAAAAGCTTTTTCCAAAAGGCAGTTATAACTTAAGTGCTTTTATTCTTTGCTGCAGCCAAATCAACCTAAAATTTCTCATAAGACATGGCTACCTGGCTCTGATCACACTCTCAATCTGTGAGATGCTGTACCCATTCTTCTAAAACCTTATAAACAAGGCTTAACTTTGACCTATGATTGCTAACACTTATTGAAGATCGTGAGACAGGCATTATTCTATAGGTACTTATTCATTTAATCCCAACAATACTAATGTAAGCACTATTATCCCTTTTGTAGGAGGAAAGCATTCTCAATGCCCCAGTGAGACTCTTCACAGTAAAATCTCCCAGCAGTGGCCAACAAATTAACAGTATTTATTACCTGTGAGCTTTAGAATTGTTCTTTTTAAAAATAATTTTTAGGAAGCATCTTTTCAGTGCCTAATACAGTAAAACTGAAAACCTAACCACTAACCTCTCCGCTCTCATTTTAAATCAGTGATCTGTCTCACCAGGGTTCTGGATGCCACTTATACACTCAAGTTATCTTAGAGTAGGGCATTTATGATAAAAGTCTTTTAAATTTTTCTCTTTTGGGTCCCAATATTACCAATACATAATCTGTATTAAAAATGAGTTGAGATACTTGCTCTGTCAAATACAAATAGCTAATTAACTTAATCTATTCTATGAGAAAGCAAATTTTGTAGTTTTCTTTTTTAGTAACACCATTGATTTCTTTAAGTGAAGGTCCCATAGCCACTTAATTTTTGTGAGTTCAAATATGTTTTGTGAATTCAAATAACACTAAGACACAAGATGATCTATCGGTTTCTACCTTTAATTCAAACATTAGTATTACTTGCTAAGCAACTAAGTTTTGAGGATATTGAAAACAGTCTCCAGAGAAACATGGCCATACCAATGATATTAACCACTAAACACTATCCTTTTTTCAATTTTGTGTTGCTAAATAGGAGATATGTCTCCACAATTATAATATTCATTTTTGTGAACAATTAAGAGTGTCTTTAGGCATTCAGAGAGAAAACTTGGTTGTCTTTTCTCTTTTCAATGAAAAAACAAAATGATTACCTTTTAAAATATTTATGCAGGTATTATTATTATTATTATTATTATTACTACTACTGGTAACATTATCATTTATAGTTTGGGTCCCATTTCTAAAACCAAGTCTTTTCAGTTATGCTATGTATGCAATCTATAACTAGATCCATCACCCAAATTTCCTAGTATATAGTTAATGAGTATTTTCACTACTGCCCACTGACCTACTTTTATGCAAGTGACTGGCAATTCACTACAGTTATGAGCTTTATACACAAGTCTCAAAAAGCAATGCCAACACCTAAATACAATCAAATATAACATTTACTCTAAAATCACCCAAATCACACAAGAAAACTCTAGAAATGTTACTGTTAGACATATACTTGTGTAATATTCCTCCATTTTTCTAAAATGACCTGGTAAGTATATTCTGGTGGTTAAGTTTGTGGCTTATCACTTCAGCCATTAACATCCTAACCATGGTATGTCATTTAACAGTTGCTGAGCCTGGTCAATTTGAAAGCATATAATTAATAGAGCATTTGAAATAAAACACCTGTTCTATCTGTAAACATGTTTAAAAAGACTTTTTTATTTTTTTAAAGAGAGACTACTGCATACAAGGCACTGAATACAAGTCATGAAAGAGCCACTCTTACTCTAATAAAAAATAAAAAAACACAAAACCTTAGAGATGAGTCCTACTGTCTCCATTTAGTACGGAGGATACTGATAGTAAGGAATAGAATGATTCCTAAGCAATTAAAAAGTTAGAGCCAAAACCGGTTTGGCTCAGTGGATAGAGCCTAGGCCTGCGGACTGAAAGGTCCCAGGTTCGATTCCGGTCAAGAGCAAGTACCTTGGTTGCGGGCACATGTGCAAGAGGCAGCTGATTCATGATTCTCTCGCATCATGTTTCTAACTCTCTGTCCCTCTCTCCTCTTCTTTGTGAAAAATCAATAAAATATATATTTAAAAAAAATAAAGTTAGAAACGTGTGCCTAAAGGGTTACTTCCGGGGCAATAAAAGACTGCCTCAGGAATGCCCCAGAGTTCCCGGACAACACCATCCGCGTGGTTCTCCTGGGGCTGTGCACTCGAACCCTCTCGGCCTGCCGGGCCCAGCAGAGAACACCCCGGAGCCCGCCGCACCCTCAGTCCGCCCCCAGGGGGGCGGGGCCGGCACGGCAGTCACGTGGGCGGCGCGCGGCAGCCATCTTGCTGTGCAGGGGCGGGGAGCCCCACGGGACTGGCCCCATCGCCCGGGGCGGGTCCGCGGCCGCGCCTGACCGCCGGGATCTACGCCGAGCCGCTACGCTGACGTACGAAGGACACGCAAGACTAGGGAGCCTCTCTGCACACCCCAAGGTGAGCAATCCTCCGGGAGCATCGGCATCGGAGTAGCTGGGTTGGACTCCAGGAAAAGGGGATTGAAAGCAATCCACCCCCATCAGCAGCTTTGGAGTGACAGCTTGCAAGCAACAAAAGCGGAAATGTCAAGGCCAGAGCACGCAATACTGGGGGACTCGGGAGTCCACGCCAGCAACAGAAAATGCGAGGTCGTAACAATTTAACGAGACGCAACTGTCTGTAAACAACTACTGGAGAGAAAAGTAGCACAAACTTCCAGTGTCTGGAAATAGCCTTCAGCGTCACCTGTGGTGCGTGTATCCCCTATGACTTGTTCCCCCACTTCATCTCATGGCCACAGCACTGGGCACTGCCCGACAAGGAACAAGTGCTGAAATGAATGGCAGCAGGCCCAGCCTCACTTTCTCCAATCCTCCCGGCACTCCCTGGATGCCAGGAAAGGCACACACTGCAGTCAAGATAAAAATCTCATTATTCTGGTATGCACGCATCTCTTCTTGTCTAGTCACCTTCCAACACTTGCATGACAAGCAAAAAAAGGAAAAAAGACTCCCATCAGTTAAATCTCAAATAGGTTACTCTAGTTGTAATGATATGAATGGGATGATATAAACGGTTTCCATCCTAGCATTTATATTAAACTTACTTACAATCTAAGGTTATCTTTACAATATAAGCTATACCAAGAATTTTTAAAAAAATAAAAGTATTGCTCCTGAGTTCAGGCTTTCTTTTCTAAATTTAATAACAGTGCATATGGAACTTTTCTGAATTATTTTAGCGAGTAGGCGTCAGAATTGAGTTTTTACCACCAGTATACACAGCTACTAGTAAATATTTGAAGACAAAATTTCAAATAAAAAAATTAGACATTATTACATCTGAGTTTGATATTATATCCTAAAATTGAGTTAGTTACTTCACAGTAGCCTTCTTTTAAAAAGGAGGGGCTCAACTTAGATTAGCACTAAATATCGTCAACCCCCCAATTCAGATAAATAAACTTTCAAAAAAGGGGTGGGGGAGGGCAAAAGCAAAATTCCCTTCCAGTATACCAGCCTGAAAACCGCCTAGGTTGAAAAGTAAGGCATTCAATTTAATATCTTTTAAATAATTATGAACCACAAAAAACAAACTCTTACTATACACAGTTTTAACTCCTCCCCTTCCCTCCACTAAAGTGCCATGCTCAAGAACTTTATATAGGGTTTATATTATTATTAAATTACTTTCATAGCTCTATAAAAATTTCATCTTCCCTAATGTTTGTCACAAGTAACTCATCCAGACTCTCGTCTACTACACTTTGGTGTTCAATAACTTTTTAGAAAACAACACTTATGTCTACAGTAAAGGCCCAACAAATATTCCCGGACCCAAATCTGGAGGCACGACTCAAGCCCTTTGGAAAGCAGGTTATGCCAGAGATAAAAGTATAACCAGCTCACCTGAGGAGAGCTCCTTCCCAACACAGACACGGAGCGCTACTCCTTAACTAACGCTACTCCTTAACTAGCTTGAGTCAATTCGCAGATCTCCACTTCCGAGTTCTTCTGGAAATCAAGTTATTTGAACAGGAGCCATAAGCCCCTTACGACCTTATGGCTCCTAAGGCACACACTAAGCAATAAGAGCCCGTGTGGCAAGGCACGCCGGGCACGCACGCATCTAAGGACACCTGGCCAAGGGGAAGGGCAGAGCTTTACAACGTGCAAGCAGAGCGCCCGCCCGCCCGACGGGAAAGGAAAGGCACTGCCACGGCCAGGCTGCGGCTCACACGCCGGCTCACATAGCGCTTCGTTTTTCCTGGCACCCAGGGCCCGAGAGATGCTCAAAGCCAAAAATGTCCCAGAGACCCTTCATCCGAGAGGGGCCTCGGGCTGAGTGCACCACGTTTTCCGTGGCGATTCCGTTACGGAAGACTTCTAGAGTATTCTGCTATGGCGGGTGCCTGTGAATGGGGAGGGAGGGGGAGGGAAGGAAAGGGGGGTTGGCGCAGTGAGTGGCACTGAGGCGGCCCAGCAAAACGAGGATTAGTAGTATTACAGGGCCGGAAGGTGCTCCAGGGTGGGGAACCCGAGACACCTGCGCCCGCCGGGGTCGGACTGGGCCTAGCGGTGCCCCAAGCCCAAGCCCGGGGACCGGCCTGGCCGCCCCGCGGCGTGTGGGAGGCTCGCGCGCCCTACCTGGGCCCTGGGGCCAGCAAAGTTGCACGGCTCCACCTCCGCCTCCGCGTCCTCGGGGCCCCGGCGGAGCGCGCTGCGGAGCCGCTCCAGGTGCTCCCTCAGGGTGACCCGCTGGTGGAAGGAGAAGGCCGGGTGCAGCGAAGCCATGGTGAAGAGCAACAGCAGTTCCTCCTGGGCCCTGAAGCCCAGCCCATCGCCGGCCCGGGGCTCGGCGCCGCTGCCTTCCGGGCCGGAGCCGTCCTTCTCGGCATCCTCCTCGCCAGCGCCGTCCAACCCGTGCTCGCCGGGCTCGTCCTCCACGCCGCCCCGCCGCGAGCCCTCGCCCCGGGCCGCGCGCAGGCTCCTGAGCACCGAGTCCACCTGGGGCAGGAGGCGGTGCAGGCGGCCGGCGGCCTCGCGGTTCTCCGAGCCCAGCAGCGCCAGGTAGACGATGAGCCGCGAGCGCACGGCGGGCTCTCGGAAGTCGGCCAAGGGCCCCGGATCCGAGAGGCCGTTGGCCTTGGCCTCCGAGTCGCGCAGGTAGTGGTAGTCCTTGCGGGCCAGGTCCTCCAGGCACGAGCCCAGAAAGCGCAGCTCCAGCGGGTTGCACAGGTCCAGCAGCCCGCACATGAACTCCAGGCGCTGCGCCGAGCCCAGCACCAGCCCAAACCACTCGTACACCCGCTCCTGCTCGCGCAGCGCCGCCGCCGCGGGGCCGCCGCCGCCGCCCGGCATGCCCGGCCCCGCCGCCGCCGCTCCGCCAGCAACAGGCGGCCCGAGCCCCCGGGGCGGCGGCGGCGGCGGCGGCGGCGGGTGGCCCCTCAGCGGGCCCGCGGGAGGCGGGGGGCGGCAGTCGCGGCGGCGGCGTGGCGGCGGTGCCTTAGCTCCGGGCCGCGCATCCGCCTCGGGCTCCTCCGCCTCGGGCGGCGGCTCGGCGGGGTGCGTCGGCTTCAGCGGCAGCTTCATCCTCAGCATCCTCGGCTAAGGCGGCGCGGACATGCGAGCGGGGGCGGGCGGAGGGGCGGGGGCCGAGGCGCGGCGCAGCGGTCAGGAGCGGGGCTCCCCCATGCCGCCGGGGGAGGGTCAGGGGCGGGTCTCCGCCGGCGAAGGGGGCGGCGGCCGGCCGGCGAGGTCGCTGGCGTCGTCTTCCCGGGCCGGAGGCGGGGCGTGCCCGCGGCGGCTCCACCTCCCGAGCTCCGCTCCGGCTCCGGGGGCCCGAGTGCGGGTGAGAGCGAGCGAGCGTGTCTTCCTTCCACCTCCCTCGGTCCCGTCGTCCTCGCCGTGCTGGGTGCGGTGACGCCGGAGCGGTTCCCTCACGAGCCGGTGCGGACCGAGCAGCTGGGAGGAGAGGAGGTGCGGCCGGGCCGGGCCGGGCGGAGACGCTTGTGGGCTTCGCCCAGGCGCCTCAGCCAATCAGTGGTCCGAGCCGACGGTTGCGTAGTGTCCCCGCCCCCCAGGACCCGCCTCTCCCCGCGAAGCCACGCCCAACTGCTGCGGGCCGCCTCCCTCCGGGCCGTTTCCGCTTGGTCTCAGTGTCTAGCGGTGGGCTGCCGGCGGGGGGACGCGGGCGTGGCGGCGGGGTGGCGGGGTGAGCCCGGGCGCGGCGAAGGGCGTGCGAGGCGCACGGGAGAGGAGAGAGGTGGGGGAGCTCATCTTTTCTCCAGGCCCTGACCCCACTCTTCACTCCCGATTGCCCCGCTACGCCTGCTCGCTCGGGCCGCCGCCCTTCCTCCGCCGGCGCCGCGGGTGCCCTCGCGGCCGCGTAGCGCGCGTCGTGGAAGCCGGGTTCGTGTGAAGCGCGCTCGCTGCCCAGCTGGAGGCGTCCTGCCCGCCGCCGCCGCCTGGCCGGCCTCCTGGACGTCCGCGGTGGGACATTTCCCACTACGACCTCACAGGGATCGGTGGTTTTGACTCCCGTGTTGAGGGTCGCGGGCCTGGGACTGGAGGCAGGGCCGTGGCCGTGGCCGTGGGGGCGGGGGGGCTCGGGGCGGACACCTCGATCCCGAGCGAGCGCCCACGCCTACTGCGGGCTGCACGGACGGAGGTGGGGCGCGGCCCAGGGGGCGCCGGGGTGACCGGACCGACCCGGAGGCGAGCCAAGGCTTCTGCGCGGAGGGGGACGCACTGGAGTGGCCGTCCTTGGCCTAACGGTTACCTCTGGTCTGGAACGCTCTTTGGAAATTATTCCCATGACAGTTTATAGTAAAAGGCCCTTCTAGGCCCTCCATCGTTTGGGAATCGTTTTATTTGCCAAGTAATATTTCTTTTAAATGTTGTATTTATTAATTAAAGGGAGATCAGCGAGTGAGGCTATTACAGGGTAGGTTTTTTTTTTTTCAAAGATTTTTTTTAAATTGGTTTTTAGAAAGGAAGAGAGAGGAAACATCGCTGAACATCCATTGGCTGCCTCCTGCAAGCCCCCCCCTCGGGGGATTGTGCCCGCAACCCAGGCACGTGCCCTGCAGGACCTAACTGGCCACATTTTGGTGCAGGGGGGACACAGTCCACGGAGCCACGTTGGGTGGGGCCCGAGTACTGATTCTGTGGGTAACAATGACATGTTGAATACTCTGCCGGTGTGGATTCCCTGTGGCTCACTCTAGGAAGGTAAGAACCTTGACTGGCTTTTAAAGTTTAAAGAACTCCAAAATATATCACTGGCACCGCCTTCTTTAAAAAGCTATATATTTTTAAGACCCAGCTAGGATCTGTTGAAGATTCAATTTACGTGGTGGGTTTTTTTTTTTTTAAAATCATTAATGTTTTTAAATTAAGAAATCCTACTATGGCCGAGACCGGTTTGGCTCAATGGATAGAACGTCGGCTTGTGGACTGAAGGGTCCCGGGTTCGATTCCGGTCAGGGGCATGTATGTTGGTTGCGGGCACATCCCTGGAAGTGGGTGTGCAAGAGGCAGCTGGTTGATGTTTCTCTCTCATCGACGTTTCTAGCTCTCTGTCTCTCTCCCTTCTTCTCTGTAAAAAAAAAAATCAATAAAATATATTAAAAAAAAAAAAAAAGAAATCCTACTATGGTTACATAGTAGTTTATGTAAAAAAGTAAGAATGACATTGATACTCTTTTTCTAAAATGTGTGACATCTATTTTAGGAGAGCTTGTGTTAAGTCCTTCTTATCGCACAACTTCATGCCCGGAGAAGCTAATTTATAATTCAGTAAAAGGCTGAACTGAAGCCTACATCAGTTTCATTGGTAAATGGGGAGATGAAGAATTATTTTCCACACATTTGAGATTGGCAGAATATTAAGTGAAAGGCATTCTTTCATGTAACTTGCCATTTCCTTGCATTCTTGGGGTGTAATGCAGAAATCCTTACAATCAGGACAAAATTTTGTAAAGACTTTTAAAATACATATTTTTTTTATTGATTTCAGGGAGGGAGGGAGAGATAGAGAGAGATAGAAACATTAATAATCATTGATCTGCTGCCTTCTGCACGCCCCACACTGGGGGATCTGTCCATAGCCTGGGAACGTGCAATTGAACATGACCTCCTGGTTCATTGGTCTACGCCCAATCACTGAGCCACACCAGCTGGGCTGTAAAGGCTTTTTAACAACTCTTGCCCTTTTTTGCTGTCAGCATCAACTGCCTGTAATTCTCTACCCTATCTCATCTCCTGTTCCCACATTTATAAAGCGTAGGGTGATGTACTTTGGGCAACCAATAATATTATTCTTGTTAGATATTCACAGGTCCACAGTTAGTCGCCTGTCTCGATCCGGGCATTTTATGTAGTAAGCTAACATTTTATCTCTGAGGTGGTTTTTATATGTGATTCAGGCAAAGAGTCTTTATATTTATTTTCTTTGATAACAAGAAGCCATTGGTATGAATGAACTCTCCACATTTGATCAATAAGTTTTATGTTAGAATTCAGATTTGTAATAAAAAAAAAACGATGACTTCTGTACTTCTGTCTTTGGCCAATTTTAGAAAATGCAGTGATCTAAGTTCCTACACATATCACATATACATGATTTCATGATTCTGGTTATCATCAGCTGGGCAGTTTGCTCTTTATCCTCCAGTGGATTTCTCAGAACCCTATCTCCATACTTCAGTTCACTAGACTGGGCCTCAATGCTTTTCCCATCCTAACATAAGCGAGAGAGAGCACCTTAGATTAAGAGTGATGTATATTACAGTCATTTTCAGGGAAGTCTTAGAGTGAAATATAGTGTTTAGTTGGGAAAAACTACCTGGAAGATTCTAATAAGATGCCCTAGGAAGATATTCCTCCCACCTGGCCCACTTATATAATATCTGTCTAATCATTCAGATGGAATGTGGAAATGGAGGATATATGCTTGTATCCAAATCTTGCATGAGATGGATATATCCCATAAAAAAGCATCTTTAAGGACACAAAGTACTACTGTTTCTTGTCCTTAGATTATATTTAATGCATATTCAATTCAATATACTTTATTTTATCTGACTCTTTAACAGTGAGAATGTTATTATTGACATTACTGTTCAAATAGTTATATGTAGCCAGAAGACTACATATAACTCTTTTCACGTTACACCTTAGTTTAAAGACAATAGCCAGTGATTGAGAATTGAGGATACTTTCCCTTTTGCAATTGTGTAACTATAAGAAATTTGACTGAAGCCACAATTCATTGGATGGTCAGAACAGACTAATAATGATAACTACAGAAAAATGATACAGTAACTTCTACTTCTCGTAGCAGCCAATCTGATCCATACCAAGAATTTCTCTTGGAATGTTGACGTATTTGCTCCTTTTCCCTGTCTGCTTTCTCTATTAAAATATAAATATCTTCATGTCAGTGATCATGTCTTACTCAATTTTATATTTTGATATCTGGAACACAGTAGATGCTTGTTGAATAAACAAATGATTGAATAATACTCCAAGAACCAAAAGTAACTGCCAACAGTCCCTGGGGGTCATATGAATCCTTATTTATATCTAGCATAGAAGAGAAAACTTTATCTGTGTCCCAACCCAGACTAGTCCTGAGATTCATGCTAACAGAATTGGCTTAGGTTATGTGCCCATTCCTGGTCATTTCATTGGAACCAGAGAAGTGGAGTCAAGATTCTTCAAAATCATGTGGGTCCCTAGCCAAGAATCAAGAGCTGTTGTAAAGGAGGAAAGAAAACATGATGATGAGAAAGCAATCAACATATGTCTGATGTCATTGTATTTAGCATCTGTACTTTTGATCACTTAAATTGTGATGGGTTGCCCTGACTGGTTTGGCTCAATGGATAGAGTGTCAGCCTGCGGACTGAAAGGTCCCAGGTTCGATTCCGGTCAAGGGCATGTACCTTGGTTGTGGGCACATCCCCATTAGGGGGTGTGCCCGAGGCAGCTGATCAATATTTCTCTCTCATCTGTTTCTAACTCTCTCATCCTTCTCCCTTCCTCTCTGTGGAAAAATCAATAAAAAATATATTTTTAAATTGTCATGGGTTTAAGGTATCTCAAAAATAAATTGTTTAGTGGGGGTCTCATGTTTTTGCTTAGTCAGATCATACATTTAAGAGAAATTAAATATTAAATTGTTTTATTTGTTTTTTAGATAATTTTTATGAGTTTATTTGAGCCAAAACTGACAATTGCCAGGAAGCAAGGCCCCAAATGCTCCCTTAAGTTGTTTTTAAAGATTACAATAAAAAATCTGGCCTAAAGGTGTAACATACAATATACAGGTAAATTATTCATTGCTATATATCTTTAGGGAAAAAATAATTGCATGTTTCATAAAAGTTTTTGCAAGGTTACAAAAATACCCTACAAGACAGATTTGAGGTAGATACCATTAGTATTGACGCTGTGACAATATTCCCATTGATAAACTGGGAATCCATGACCAATTATGGTGTATACCACCTTTTCTGGAACACTACTAGCATTGGGTTCAATTCAGTCTCTCTAGCTTTGTACCTTCCCTTTGTCAGAAGGACTCTTAGGAACTT